GCCAACTCGCAGGATGTGTGGTAAAACCTCAGGGTTGTTGTGATTTTCAGTTCTGTTATTATTGGTGATTTGGAGCATTCTTTCCTGTGACTGTTAATACTCTGTAGTTCTTTTGAGAATGTTTTTCTATATTCTTTAACCACTTATCTATTGGAGAATGGCTTTCGGTCTTATGTGTGTGTTTTTTTGTGTATACATATGTGCGCACATAAACAATTAACAGATATATATCTATTGTCAGAGGAATTTGACAAAGATTTTTTTTTCATTTAATTGCCTCCCTTCTTATCCTAAATACCTTAGTTTTGTCTGGATAGAAGATTTCCTGTTTTATGTAACCCATGTTATCTATTTCATCTTTTGTAATTTTATAATCTTGTCTTTATCCTTTGTTTAAGAATGCATTTTCCACATTTTTTGGATAATTTGTGCGGCATGGGTACTGATTGTTCTTTAAAAGTTTGATAGCATTCTCATGTGAATCAATTAGAACCAGTTTTTGAGATATCCTTTTGGAGTTCTCTCTTCTAAACACATTGTTATTGCCTTGTAGATCTTGTTCCCTATCTCCCCTCCCTCCTTTTTCTTTGTTGTGTGCTAGTCTTGGAAATTCCTGTAGGTGAGTGAGAGGATATTGCCCCATGGTATGAATCTTCCTATATCCCTAATTGTGTAGTTCATCATTAGCTTTTGCCCTCCTCTTAGTCATTCCTCCTCCGAACCCATTTTCCTCAAAATCTCTTCCTTGGATGTATTCCCTCCCACTCTTCTTACCTCCCAGGAGCTCTGAGTGGTCTCTCTTAGCACCAAATCCTTGCAAATAATACCCATTATAAGGTCCCTATATCCCTTAATAGAATGTCACTTTTGTCTCATGTGAGCATTTATCAGTGGTATCTCTTCCCACCTCAGATACAAAATATCTGTCTTTCTTTTTCCCCTTTTCAAACCTTTCCTTTTCCTCCTTGACCATTCTCCTTTAGGCTCTCTTCTTCCTGAGAGCTCCAGTGCTCTTTGTAACACATTCCATCTCCTCCCACATTCTCTAGTAGGTGCAGAATAGTCTTGTTATTTGAATTTCCTTTCTTTTGTGTTTTAAGATCTTTATCCTGATTACTTCCACAACTAATTGTTTCTGAATTGGATTATTAAATTTAACCACTAAGTGCCTTGGAGTTTGCAGTCTCTTTTTTTTTTCCTCCCTTAGGGACAATTTATGAATTCTTTCAATCAGAATTTCATTTTCTGTGCTTTGGACAGTTCTCTTCTATGATTTCTATTATTATAGTATTTTTTTTTCCTGTCATGCTCTTCTGGGAGACCCATGATCTTTAGTTACAGCCTATCCTGTCTTCTTGCATAGTGAGCATATTAAAAACTTTTTCCCCCTCTTCTTCTGGATTGTCCTTTAATATATTTGCATTTCCAATCTATTTTCTCTTTTTTTTTTACCCTTTGGTGAGGCTTGTCAATGAGATTCCAGTTTTTTTTATTCTGCCCATTATGTTTTCTGAGTAAGCCATAAATTCTACTCCCATAATTCTCATTTTTCTTTTCAGCTACTTAAGATTAGCATGTTGTGGTTCCATGTTCTCACATTCCACTGGGTCCTCTGTCTCATCAAGTGTTGGATCATTTTCCTTTATATTGCAGTATTTATTTACAGATGTCTGTACTCTTTTACAAGATCTGGAGTCCATATTTCCTTTTGCTTTTAATATTTTCCCTGTTGACTTATTTGCTGATGTTTACGGTCTCTTGAGTTTTCTTCTTCCTGAAGTCTTTGATCATTCCAGTTCGTTTTTCCCTCATTTTCCGTTATTGCTCACTTTCCGACATGGTTGGTCATGCATTGATCAGACTAAGTATTTTAACGTAGTTTTTTTTTTAAATGTTGCTATTCTTGTATTCATTGTTCTCCTGGTTCTACTTAACTTTGTTCTGCATTAGTTCATATTAACTAAATTTCTTTCTTAAAGTGAAATAATAATCTTTACATTCATAACCCACAATAAGTTCAACCATTCTTTAATTGTCTAAGAGGCACAGTCTAAGCCAGCTCCTTAGATCCTAGTTCTTTTTTCCTTTGTATCCCCCTCCTTTTAATATCCCCATCCCACTCACATTTACAGGAGCAGGTGGTTTGATTTTTTTTTTTAATATTCTCCCAAGAATATCCCTCTGGAATAAATTCTCCCTCTCAGAACCCTCCCCCATTCCCATTTTTTATTTGATTTATTCCCTATTGAGTTTGATATATTTCTGTACCAAAAGTGTGGATGTGTTCAACCCTTCTTTATCTGTTTAAGATTGTTTCATCTGATGCCAATTTTGCCATGTTTGCATAGTTTTCTACAGAATCTTGGTTGTTAGAAATAGCAAGTTCTATCTCCTTCTTCCTTCTTTCTACACTAGGATATAACTTTTACCCTCCCTTCTTTAAAATCTCACAGTTATGGTTGGAAAATTCTAATCTGCAACAAAAGTCCCTGAGACGAAGCTCTGAGACTGATTTATAAATTTATTAGGGAAATTGGTGGTCCATAATAAGTTGGGCCAAGATCTTTCTCATGGTCAGGAATCCTGATGCTCAAGGGGCTAAGGGGCTTTCTAAATCTTGGGGAGTCCCTGGGAGTTTCCCCAGTCATGGGGAGGTTCTTTCAGAAGTGTGGAAACTTCTTATGATTGGCTAATCTTCATAAGCAGAAGAGCTCCCATGATTGGCCACAGGCAGTGTCCATCAATCACAATCACTTTGTCAGCAGGCCTTTCATAGGTCATTAGCTACAGGCTGTCTACCGGAGACCATCTCAGCAGGGGCTTTCCATGGCCCCTCAAACACATGTGTTTGGCCAGCTATTTCCTAGGGCCCAAGGAAGTTGTGGCTTTGAAGCAAAGATCACTAGGGAGTGGGCAGTGGTGGTTCACAGGAGTGGAAAGGCAAATGAAACTTATTTCAAGTACTACACTTGGAATGGGGGGTGGGATTATCACACTGATAATTACTTATAACAGACCTACCTAATGCAGTATGACTATCTGATAAATCAACCACAATTAATAATCAATCATAACTCTTATCTTGATAATAGCATTAGCTAATTCTATTCTGCTTAATTCACTAATACAATTACTGATACCAGTCAAATCACAATGTATTGAGAAAATGCTGATTAAATGAAGTAGGTGTAACAAAATTATCTTCACAAAATAAAACCAAGCCACCACAGAGGACATCTGTTTTTCTTATTTATTTCCCTTGATGCACTTTAAAGACATAAGGTTCTGAAGGAATACTCACTTTTACTCTCCTATTAGAATGTTTGCAGTATATCATTGCATAATTCCTTCCAGTTGTTCAAATAAATATAAATTTCTTGGTGTCTCTTGACTACATCTTTGATCAATCATATTAAAAAGAACTTCATCAAGGAAAAGTCACTATTTTAAGTATTCTATCTAGATTTTCAAGTATAGTTCACTTTCATGATAATTATTTTGATATATTTAAGGAAGGATAAGGGAGAGGAAAAAACTCCTAGAGCTTTCTTACCTCCTTGCCCATGTTTACGCCATTCCTCATACCGTAATGATTGAAATCTGCTTCTTTTACCATTTGGCAAATTCTATTTTTTAAAGTGTTATTTTTCTTCCCAAGCTGTTAATTTTCTTTTCATAATTTTCTTGAATCACTCTTATTTTTTTCCTCAAATTTTTCCTCTTTCACTTGTATCTCCTTTTTAACTCTTCCAAGAATTCTTGAAGAGCTTCTGTCCAATTCGCATTTTTTTTTTTGAGACTTTGATTGTAGTTGTTTTCATCTTGTTGCCTTCTGAGTTTGTGTTTTGATCTTCACTGTCACCATAGTAGTTTTTATGATCAGGTTCTTGTTTGTTTGTTATATGCCCATTTTTCCAGCCTGTTCCTTGACTTTGAACTTTATGTTAATATTAGACTCTGTTCACCTGGGAGTAGGAAGGCACTGTCCCAAACTTTAGGCCTTTTTATACTGTTGTTTTCAGAGCTAGTTCTGTGGTATAGTACAAGGAGAGGTGTGGTCACTGCTCTTCTGGCCTATTTTCTGGTATTTACCCAGGAAAGGGCTCTGTTTCCCTGCAGCCAGAAGTGGTAGTGCTTCTCTCTGCCCTGGAACTGTGACCAGGACCCCTGTTCCCTTCTGAAAAACCACAAGTACTCCTCTCTGCTCAGGAACTGCAATCCAGAGCTGCACATGTTCAATGGAGTTGCAACTCATAGACCTATACCCATTGTCAGCTCAGGGTCCTCTGTAATCTCTTTACAACCAGTTGCCCTCTCTGACCCGAAAGCTCCCAAAGCAGCTTCTGCTCCTGTTGCAGTTGCCTCCAAGGCCCACTAATGGTGTTGTCACCACATGCACTCCAGGGCAATTCCAACGCCAGTGTCATAGACCTCTCCTACCAACCTCTTAAGTTCTCTTGGGCTGGAAAAATGTATCACTCTGAACTTTGTATAATGTGGTACACTAGAATTCAATTTGATGCGTTATTTTAAAGTTGTTTGGAAAGATTTTGCCTGGGTTGCTTCCTCTGCTCTGCCATCTTGGTTCTCTCCCTTTCCCCATCCTGTTATCTTAAATTAAATGGGGATTTAGTGCATACTTAGACCATAAAAGGTAGTATCATCCATGTGGAAGATTCTTGGGGAACTGCTGCCATGAAACTGCAGGACTCAAGCATACATGAACATTGATTCGTGTAGTTAGGAGAAGTTTTTTGCCATTGGCTATGAAATCAGAATCATTAGTGTTTTTGACATGAGCTGATTCAACAACAGAAGTGGCCAATTTGCTGGGTATGAAGTGAAATTTCTGATTTGTTTTGATTTTCCTTCATCTTAATATTAGTGATTTGGCACATTCTTTCATATGCTTATTAACTGTTTATATCTCTTTTGAGAAGTATTTAATTATATCCTTTGACCCTAAGTTTCATTTAACTTTTTTCTTCTTTTCTTTTCAGGATAAAAGTGATATCCCTGGAACTAGACAACTTTTTTTTATACTTTGCTGGTGGTCCAGAAATAAGACTCTTTGGAAAAAGAAACCAGGACAGAAAAAACATCTAAACTTTATTTATCCAGTTGCCTGCATGAGAGACCTGGGTTCTAGGAAAGAAAAAAATACCAGTCATCTTTTCAGGATAAATTGTACATTTATTGGGCTGAGAACAATTCTTTGTGGAGTGTCTGGAGCCGTGATTTGAAAACTTCATTGATATTTTATTTGCACTTTGGATCATAAGCATGAGTGAGTTCTGGTTGTGTTTCAATTGCTGTATTGCAGAGCAGCCTCAGCCTGTAAGTATGAAGTAATATTAATACATATGGGATAAACAGGGTATTGGGGGCTGACTTTGAAGGAGACGCAAATTCTAAAACCAAGAGACAGTTCTGAGGGGTCCTGTGAAGGGTCCTTTGGAGAGTAGAGCTATGGATCTCTCAATAGTTGTCTAGTGGTGAAGGTAGCGGGGAACTGACCCCTCCCTTTACTTCCTTTTTGCTCCCTGGACTTTTTAAAGCATCAATGCTAGTAAAGACTCTAATTGTGGAAGTCCTATCCATTTTTAGTCATGGTTCTTTAAAAGTTAAATGATCACAAAGTAGTTTTACTAATGAGAGATGCTGGGGTGGTTTTAGGAATCTTTTTTTTTTTTTTTTTTTATAAGGAGAGGATAGTAAAGAGAATTGAAAATAATTTAAGAAATACTAAACTACTTGTTTTAAGGTTTAAGTGTAAAAATTGCCTTTATGTAATCAAAACAACTCTATGGCAGTAGAATAGTATTGTTTTTCTGTAGAGCAGGGATTTTTTTTCTTTTAATTTTAAATAAATGGTTTATTGATGCTTCAATTTTTTTTTTTTTTTTTTTACTGTGAGCTTAACCATCCAACACAAATCTTTCAATCTACAAATGAGGAATATAGAAAAATTTGTAAACTCTTATGTGTAACTTGTTTTTTTCTTAAATAATTTGTTATTTAATATTATATAATATGCATTATATAACATTTAATTTAATATTTAATATTAATAATTTATTATCAACAGACAACAAATAACAAAATTTTTCTATGTGAAGAATAGAAAAAGAGCATTGTAAATGAAACACTGACTTTATTTTAAAAAGCTTGTTTTTTTTTAAAAAGCTTCTAACAAATTAAACACATTACTTTTATAGTTATCCTGCTTGTCTGCCCTCTAAACTTTCTTTTTTGAATGCTTCAATGACTCTCTTTTCTTTTCTTTTCTTTTCTTTTTTTTTTACCTGGCTGTCACTTATGCCCTTCATGCCATCTAAATCCTCTTCCAAATTAAAAAATCACCCCCCCCCTTGATAGATGAGCATGGATAGGTAAACACAACAGATCCATGAATTAGCAGTGTCTGAAAATTGGCATCTCATTTTACTTCTTGTATCCATCACTTCTGTGGCAAGAAATGGCTAACATGCTTTATCATTGGTCCTCTGGAATTGTAGTTGATCATTATTTTGATCAGAGTTCTTAAGTCTTTCATAGTTATTTTTCTCTATAACATTGTAGTCACTGTATGAATTATTTACCTGGTTCTTCTCATTACACTCAGTGTTAGAGGCAGGTAGAGGACTCAGTGGATAAAGCAGTGGACTTGGAATTGGAGACCTGAATTCAAACTTAGCCCCCGACACTTATTTGCTGTATGAATCTGGGCAAGTCAGTTAATCTTTGTCTGTCTTAATTTCCTCAACTGTAACTATAAAATGGGAGTGATAATAACCTACCTCCCAAGGTTGTTGTGAGGATCAGATGAGAATTTTGTAAAGCACTTAGCACAGTGCTTGGGACATATTAGATGATTAATAAATGCCTGTACACTTCCCTTTCTTTGTACTGATACTTTACAAAAAAAATCACTGTAACTTACTAATGCACCCTTCCCCCTACAGAAAGCTCTCCTATTAATGATAAATTTAGTTAAGAAAAACAAGTCCCCATAATGCAGAATTAGAAATTATCAGTGATCTCTCAGTTACCAATCAAATGGCCTTTTCTTGATCTTTATCCTTCTTGACCTCTCTGCTGACATTGTTGGCCACTGGATATTTGCTCTCCTCTCTGTTTTTGTAATGCTTTTTCCTTTTGGTTCTGTTTCTACCAATCTGTAGTTCCTCATTCTCCTTTACTATATTAGCGTCAATATCATAGCTTTAATCTGTAGATCTACTCTACATCTCTGTTGTGGTCCCTCTTCTCTTCTCTCAGTTGGTAACCTCATGCATTCCCTTGGGTTTAATTATCATGTCTGTGCAAATGGCTTCCTGATCTATATATCCACCCCTACTCTCTTTCATGAGCTCTAGTCTCACATTATCTATTACCTATTAGATACTTCCAACTGGTTACCCAATGGACAGCAAAAGCTCACTATATCCAGACTAAACTCATCATCTTTCCCCTATATCCTCTATCCTTCTAAATTTTTCCTTTATCTTTAAAGAGCACCACCATCCTTCCGTTAACCCTTGATTAGCATTCTTGATGTCATCTCCAACTGTCCTCTATCCTTTACCCCACACACCTATTTAGTTGACCAATCTTATTGTTCCTAACTCTACATCTCTTATTCTTCTTTTCTGCATCCACACAGCCACCACTCTTTTTCAGATCCTTGTCACCTCTCACTTGTACTATTTCAATTGATAGCCAAATTGATCTCCCTGACTCAAGAATCATTTCCTCTCTAGTCCATCCTCCAGTTAGTCAATCAATCAATCAGATATCTATTAAGCATCTCCTTTGTGCCAGGCATTTTGATAGGCATTAGAGATGCAAAGAACCATCCCTATTCATATGTGAAGCATACATTCTATTCTGTGCAGGTCTGACCATGTCACTGTCTTACTCAATAAATTCCTATTACCTCTAGAAGCAAATATAAACTCTCTTTTGCTTTTAAAACCTTCCATAACTGGACCCCAACCAGCCATATTACTCATTACTCCACTTCCTTCCCTCTGTAGTCCAGTCAAATTGGCATTCACAGTGTCCCTCACACATGGCACTCAGTTTCCCAAATCCCTGCCTTTAAACTGACTGACACTATACCTGGACCACCCTCCCTCTCCACCTCTGCCTCTTAGAATCCCTAGTTTCCTTCAAGATTCAATTTAAGTAGAGTACCATCTTCTATATCAGCTGTTCTTAACTTTTTTTGTGTGTGTCATGGATCCTTTTGGCAGTTGGGCAAAGCCTAAGGTGTTCTCAGTCTCTCTCTCTCCCTCTCACTTAAATGAGTATGTATCTATACACATATATACATATTTATATTTAATTAATGGTTAGTAAAAATAATGATGTACTTTTCCCATCTATGTTTAAGGAGCCTCTAAAATCTATCCATGAAGTCATGGATCCCAGGTTAAGAACTCTTGTTCTGCATGAAGCCTCATTGCCATGGTTTCAGCTATTCCCTGCACATAGATGATTCCCAAATCCTTATCTACTGCCCTGACCTCTCCACCTTTTAGAATCTTCAATTTCCTTGAAAGTGCAGCTCAAGCTCCATTTTCTCCATGGGCTTTTCCTGATGCCTTTAGCAGTGAGTTCCTCCTCTCACTCTCAACCCAGCTCCGTCCCAAGTTACCTTGTAATTATTTTGTGTTTATCTCATCTGTAAAATGAACTGGAGAGAAAAAAGGCAAACCACTCCAGTATCTTTACCAAGAAAATCCCAAATGGAGTCATGAAGAATCAGACACAACTGAAAAAAAAATAAACCAAAAAACATGACTGAAGCAAGGTTGCCCACTTTTTCCACTGTTATTTGGTACAGAACTGGAAGTGTTAGCAGTAAGAAAAGAGAAAGTAATTTAAAAAATAAAGTTAGGTAATGAGAAAATAAAACTATTTCCTGTTTTCTGATGATATGATGGTTATTACTTGGAAAACACCAGGGAATCAGCAAGGATATGAATTGAAATTATTAATAGCTTTGGCAAATTTGTAGGCTACAAAACAAATCCTCAAAAGTAAATAGCATTTCTGTATGTTAATAACAAAACCCAAGAAACACTAATAGGGAATTCCCATTCCAAATAACTACAAAATGCATAAAATGTCTGGGACTCAGACTCCCAACGCACACAAAAGACATTTATGGATTTAATTACAAACCACTCCTTAAAGAATTAAGGAACAACCAAAATAGCTGGTGGAATATTCAGTGCTCATGACTATGCCATGCCAATGTAATAAAAATGATGATACTACCAAAATTAGTTTATATTTTTAATTCCATACTAATCAAATTATCAAGAGGATACTTTACAGAGCTTGATAAAATAATACCAAAATTCATTTGGAAAAACAGAAGATCTAGAAGATTGAGGGAAACAATGGAAAAAAGTAAGGAAGAGAGAATACACTCAGACTTCAAATTATATTATAAATTAACAGTCATCAAAATGACCTGATACTAGTTAAAAAAAAAATAGAGAAATAGATCAATGGAAAAGACTAGACAAGGGAGATTCAGAAACAATAGAACTCAACAATCCATTGTTTAATAAAGTAGAAAATATAAGCTACGCAGGGAAAACTCCTGTTGATAAAAGTTGCTAGAAAACTGGAAAGCAGTCTTACAGAAATTAGATTTATATGAAATCTTACACCACACTCTACAATCTATTCTAAATAGATGTATGACTAATAATAAGGATCATACTATTAAAAAATAGAAGAGGAACAGATTATGTACTTCTCATAGCTATGAGTAAGAAATGTATTCTTAAATGAGATAGAGGCAATTATAAAATAAAAAATATGTAACTCTGATTAGTTATAACTGCAGAGATTCTGCACAGACAATATTTAATACATCCAAGATAAGAAGAGAGGTGGGCCAACTTGGAAAAACAAAATATTTGTATCAGATTTCTTCAGTAAGTGTATGGTATCTAAGATATATGAGGCAGCTAGGTGGCACAGCAGATAAAGCTTTGAACCTGGCATCAGAAAGACCTGAGTTCAGATTTGGCCTCAGACACTTAACATGACTCCAGGCAAGTCACTTAACCCTGTTTGCTTTAC